CCCTCAAGATCACCCTGATCGGCCCAATAGATATAATAACCTAGGCTCCATGTTGTCTAAGAGGTTTGAACGGATAGGAGACCTTGGAGACCTCCAAAAAGCCATTAATCACGCCCAGGAAGCATTAACTGCTACCCCTCATGATCACCCGGATCGAGCGAGTAGGCACAGTAACCTGGGATACCGGTTGTCTTCAAGGTTTGAGCGCACTGGAGACCTTGGAGACATCCAGGGAGCAGTCGAGCATGCCGAAAGGGCATTAGCCGCTACCCCACAAGATCATCCAGTAAATGTGTTCAAGAGCCACCACAACCTGGCATTATGGTTGGCAAAGAGGTTTTCCCGGATAGGAGACTTCGGAGACCTCCAAAAGGCGTTAAAGCATAGCGAAGAAGCATTAGCTGCTATCCCCCGAGACCACCCCAGTCAAGCGTCTATCCATACCGCCTTGGGAGACTCGTTGTCTCAAAGGTATGAGCGCATTGGAGACTTTGGAGACCTCCAAAAAGCCATTGAGCAGACCGAAAAGGCATTAGCTGCTACCCCTCAAAATCACCCAACTCGACCTAGTAGACATATTCAGTTAGCTTACTTGTTGTCTAAGAGGTATGAGAGGATAGGAGACCTTGGAGACCTCCAAAAAGCCATTAACTACGGCGGATATGCAGTAACTGCTACCCCGCAGGACCACCCCCATCGAGCGATCTGGCAGAATAACCTAGCGGTCTGGTTGTTTGCGAGGTATAAACTGATTGGTGTCCTTGGAGACTTTCAAAATGCCATTCAGCACAGCGAGGAGGCACTAGCTGCTACCCCTCCAGATAATCCGTCCCGAGCCGGCGTCTGCACTATCCTCGGTGGACTTTTAGAATCAAAATTCTCAAGGCTACAGTGCGAGAATGACTCAAACAGAAGCCTCCGCCTATACATTGAGGCTCACGATTGCCGGGCTTCGCCACCCATAGTGCGGATTCGGGCTGCCCGCAAAGCAGCTTCTTTACTATATTCAGCTGAAAAATTTCTTGAATCAATTTCCATACTCGAGGATGCAGTTAACTTGATGCCAAATGTTGATCTTCGATTCCTAAACCGAGATGACCAGCAGCACAGACTATCGGAACTTTCCGGGCTAGCGTCAATTGCTGCTTCTGTGGCTCTCCAGGCTGGGAGAGGAGCCTACCACAGTCTCAAGTTACTAGAGCTTGGTCGTGGGATAATCATGGGCTTTTTAATTGACTCACGATCCGACGTTTCGGATCTCAAAACAGACCACCCGGTGCTATTCGGGCAATTCCAAAGCCTTCGACTTGAGATCGATTCGCCGATAGATGAGATAAACTGTGTCACTGATCAAGCGCCCCATGAAATCCAAAACCGTGCTATCTCCAGACGCTGGGAGGCTGCGTATGAGCTGGTGGAGGTTCTGGAGCACATCCGGAGTTTGCCTGGGTATGAGGAGTTCCTGCTCCCGCCTTCCCAGGGGGCTATGATGAAAATGGCAGCGAATGGCCCCATCGTTGTCTTCAACAGCACAGCTTATAGGAGCGATGTTGTAATCGTCACTGCCTCATCTATAACTTCTTTGGAACTTCCGAAATTGAGCTACAACGAAACAGTCAACCGCATGAAGGAATTGACAAGTTTTGGAGGAGGATCCCCGTTTAAGCGAGGCCAGGATACCAAAAGAATGAAAGGCCTCCTCGCTTGGTTGTGGGATGCAGCAGTAGAGCCCGTTTTTGAATACCTTGAATTCCAGGATATCCTTATCAGTGGGGGTTCTCATGACACCAATTTGAAGCGGATTTGGTGGATTGGGGTAGGGCAATTAAGTGTAGCACCGTTCCATGCTGCAGGGTACCATTCGCTAGGGTCCACCCGTAACACCTTAAGCCGAGCCATCTCATCATACATTCCTACGATCAAAGCCCTCGCCTATGCACGCCAAAACCAACTTCAGTTATTTGACGAATGTGACGCTTCTTTTTCTCCCGAACACTCCAAGAAGGCCAAAATTCTCAAAAAACGGAATCCACGCTTGCTTCTCGTTCCCATGCCCAAAACGCCCCGCGCGATTGACCTGCCGGGTGTTCGTGAAGAAATTCAACATATACTTGATTCAACGGACAGAAATTTGATTGAAGCCACAGTTATGGTGGATCCAACCCCGGCCGAAGTCCTCGGTAAAATCAAACATCATGACATTGCCCATTTTGCCTGTCACGGAGTGTCTTGCATCAACCCTTCAGACAGCCACCTAATTCTGTTTAGCCAAGATGGAGTTCATGCTGATAAACTCCTAGCTCGAGATATATCGGCTATGGTTGTGCAAAATGCGCAGATCGCATACCTTTCGGCTTGCTCCTCCGCAAAAAACCCCTCCCCCGAGTTAGCCGACGAGGTCATACACCTAGCAAGTGCATTTCAACTAGCCGGGTTCAGTCATACATTCGCAAACATGTGGGAAACCGACGACAACGCGGCCTGTGAAGTTGCGAGAGACTTTTACGACTTCCTTTTGCGAAATCGTGGAAACGGGGAAGACGGCCACCGGCGCGTTTCTACCGCTTTTTACAAAGCCGTGAAGAAAGTTCGAGATGCCAAGCCCGGCAACCCTCTCCTTTGGGCCCCCTTCATACACACAGGTGCCTAAGATATCCGGTTAGTAAAGCGTCCCAGAATTTGCCCATTTCTTTTCGCCCCAGTAAGGCTAACTTTCCAAAGCACAAACCTATTTCCCGAGCTTTACTCTACGGCTTCTACTTGTGACTGCGTTTCGCACCCGGTCCAAGGTCACTTATCCATTTCGCTCGTTCATCACCTTATCAAGGAGTTTACCACATACACATCTTTTACTCGTTTCGCTTTCTATCTTTGCCGAAGGGGCCTTATTTGGGCTGTGCTTTAAAACCTGTAGGAGGAGACTAACTTAGAGGTTAAGTTGGTCACTGCTTCCGTAAGGTTATTCGTATCCAGACTTCTCCAGATTGTTTCACCTAGCTGTGTTTACCCCTCTATCGCTTGAGGGTTCCATCTTGCTTGCGCACACACTCTTTTCCCGGATAATTTTTTCAACGCAGGGTTATGGGAGTGGCATTGCGATTTGATATTGCCTTTAATAAGGGTATTGTCAAAAATTAGTACACCGCGTTTCCACGTTACGCAGAATGTTGAATATAGCAGTTGATGGCCGCACTTGGTGCGGGATGTGCCGGCACATAGAGGCCGTAGTAGTATACATACATAGTGCTGAAGGATGCGTAAGCTATGAAAACTTCTCTGATCCCTATCTTTTCTTCTTTTCTGATCCCTCAAGGGAAGCCACTTCCTGTCCTTTATCATTCTCTTCAAGCCCTTCCTTTCTATCGTTTGGCGGTCAATCAATGGTATTCACCTTCACCTAAGTCAATCTTCATGTCTCCATTCGAGCCATTCCACTCCACTATGTAAACCCTCACCATCGATCATTACCTCCGTAATAATAATTTTTCAACACAAAAAGCTGACCCACCCTGCGAGTGATAGGCGGTGACTGCTAGTCCTCTAGACTTCTTCTGATGCCTGATGTTCACAAATGCGCTACTTGTAGGGAGAGTGCAATCGGAGCTGTATTTATGAACAAAATTCCGATAACTAGAACAGAAACCGTTGCGGTATTCAAATAGACTGATCGAATTCTTGATCCTTACGATGAGAGCAATAGTGCTTTTAACTATGAGATTGTAAATAAATCTCCGACTAAGGCACACAGCTGGGTTCACCGTTTAAGTGAAGATATACCTTCGCCTCCTAGAAGCTGGCATTTGGCTCTACTTCCTAGAATAAAAGCTCTCCTAGTGATTGAAAGAAATTCCGGTAATTCAATTAATATGATACAGAAGAAAAATAACAGTGGCAATTATCAATACAAACTGCAAAGCCTTGTCCACTAGAAATAGTCAATTAGGATAAAGTAGAAACTTGAAGAACTAGACTGTCAGGTATGTCATTGGGCTTAGCTCTCCCATGTGATCAAGAAACCACCCCTGTTTCGTCATGCCCTGGAAGATTTAAAAGAGCTCTGCTTTCGCTTTGTGTTTTTGCCCCAGTTCCCGAGAAGGGAATTTCGGCCTTCACAACACATTATTCACGTTTGGCGATGTCCCCGAGCCAGAGCCAGCAGTTCCAGAGGGCTCGGTATAGATTTTTTTTATCCCACTCATTGTGGAGGCCCAACTCGAGAGTGGTAGAATGAGAGTTGATCTTTGCAACCTAGTCAACTTATACAAGTACTCCGTCGGCTTTGGTATAGGTGAATCTATGGAGTCGAAATAGAGGTACCGTATGGTTGCCGCACTTCGCCGCCCAGGATGCGGGTTATGGCGGCTCGCAGCACGGCTTCTTTGCTATACACAGCTGGAAATTTTCCTGAATCATGTTCAATACTTGAGGATGCAGTTAACTTAATTCCAAATGCTGATCTACGATTCCTAAAACGGGATGACCAGCAGCACATATTGTCGGATCTTTCGGGGCTAGGGTGAACCGCTGCTTCTGTGGCTCTTCAGGTCGGGAGAGAAGCCTATGACAGTCTCAAGTTACTAGAACTTGGCCGTAGTGTAATTATGAGCCTTTCAATTAACTCAAGATCTGACGTTTTGGATCTTAAAACCGACCACCCATTCGCATTTGACCGATTTCACCGCCTCCGACTTGAGATTGACTCGCCAACGGATGGCATGCACAGCGCAAGTAAAGAAACGCCCGACCCACACGAAATCCGGGCGATCTCCAGACGCTATGAAGCTGTCAACGAGGTGGAAGAAATTCTAAAGCGCATCCGCAATCTGCCTGGTTATGAAGGGTTCCTCCTCCCTCCTTCCCGGGATGCACTGATGAAAATGGCAACTAACGGTCCAATCGTTGTCTTCAACTCCACTAGTCTACTTATCGGAGCGACGCCATAATTGTCACCAGCTCGGCTATAACTTCTATAGAACTTCAAAAATTGAACTACAAAGAAGCAGGCAGCCGCATGAAGCAGTTGGCTAGTTTTGGAGGAGGATCCCCGGTTAAGCGAGGTCAGGATACCAAACAGATGAAAGAGCTCCTCCTTTGGTTGTGGGATGTAGCAGTAGGGCCTGTTTTTGACCACCTTGAATGCAGAAGAATCCTTATCAGTGAAGGTGTTCATGACACCGATTTCAAGTGAATTTAGTGGATTGGAGTAGGGCAATTAAGTATGGCACCTTTCCATGCACCTGGGGACCATTCCCCACGGTCCACCCGAAACACTCTATGTCGCGCCATCCCCACATATATCCCGACAATCAAAGCCCTCTCCTATGCACGCCAATCACAGCTCCCGCTATTCGATGGATGTGGAGCTTCTTTTTCGTCAGGACGCTCCAATAAAGCCAAAATTCTCCAGAAACAAAACCCATGCTTACTTCTCGTTCCCATGCCCAAAACGCCCGGTGCCATTGATCCGCCGGGTGTTGGTAAAGAAATTCAACATATACTTGATTCGAAAGACATAAATTCGATTGAAACCACAGTTGTGATAAATCCAACCCCAGTTGAAGTCCTTGAAAAGGTTAAGCACCATGACATTGTTCATTTTGCCTGTCACGGAGTGTCTTGCATCAACCCTTCGGACAGCCACCTCATTCTGTTTAGGCAAGATGGGGGAGTTAGTCCTGATAAACTCCTGGCTCGAGGTATATTGAATCTATTTGCGCAAAATGCGCAAATAGCATACCTTTCGGCTTGCTCCTCCGCCAGAAACCCCTCTGCCAAGTTAGCCGACGAAGTCATACACCTAGCCAGCGCATTTCAGCTTCCCGGATTCAGCCATACATTCGCAAACATGTGGGAAACCAATGACGATGCGGCATGTGAGGTTGCGAGAGACTTCTACGACCTGCTGTTCCAAAATCGAGGAAACGGCGAAGATGATGACTAGCGCGTCTCCACCGCTTTTCACCAGGCTGTGAAGAAAGTTCGAGATGCCAGGCCGGGGAACCCCCGCCGATGGGCCCCCTTCATACACACGGGTACTTAAGGTATCCGGTTAGTAAAGAGTCCCCAAATTTTTCTCTTTTTTTTCCGCTCCAATGTAGCTAATTTTCCAAAGCACAAACCTAGTTCCCGGGCTTCATGTTATGTTCTCTACTTGTAACTTAATTACGTTTCACGCCATTCCCAAAAGAGACCTACCCATTTCTCTCCACTCATCACCGTATGAATCGGTTTACTGCATACACATTTCTTGTTTACTTTGTTCTCAATGATAGTCGAAAGAATCTCGTTTGTGCTAGATTTTCCTAATTGTCGGCGGGCACAATTAGTCCAACCCAGACACAATTTCTATAAGTATTACCATTTACAGGTTTCACCGGGCACACACTTATGGCTTTCCACTTAGCCCGTCTTTCTCCTCCCCTTCTTACACAACTCCGCACCGCTAGTTCATATAGGAATGTTCTCTTAATTTACAATGGAAGCTACCTCACAGAGGGAACCGTTGAACCTCGTCTACCCCACCAACACCATGCACCAAATTATATCTACAAGGAAAAAAGCCAAAAGACCCCATCCCGCACAAAGAAATTTAGTGCCGAGTAATGGCTTTTTTTGCCATAGGAGAGCCCAATGCACCGATTGATTGATTCTCCCCATGACACGCGAATCTTCAATAGTCAACCTCCAGAGATCAGTGGATAGTGGGACAAGATTCATAGATGAATCTTCGGTAGTGCATGAGGACTGAGCACACTCTAGCACCACGAGAAAGGGCTAAGTCGGGTCCACAAGATTCTTACCCTGAACGGCACGGGCTAAAGTTAATTCTATATCCAAAAACGTATATAAAACCAACCTCCCTTTACCCCTCTAAATTCCTTATATAAACCCTCCCTCCCACTCCCACCCCGCTGAAGGTCATTGGTAAACCCTCCCCATTCTCTTTCCTTCTATACCGATAACGGGATTATTTATTTATTTTGATCCGACCTAACAATACCCAGTAAGTCTAGAGTAAGCCGTGATACGATTTAAAGTACTATACACCAGGTAAATACCTTGAACAAACCTTGCCTATTACCCATCACCCAGCAGGTGACGAGCCGTGACCCCACTACTAATGCTTATTTAAAATGTTCGACATTCATAGGAGTATACAAAGTGACTAGCATATTAGCGAGTCGGGTGTGCTGGCACCAGGGCTATGTAGTTCAGGGGGGGCGGTAAACCATCTGAATCACATTTGTATCAAACACGGGTTATAGATGATTGGCATAACATATTTCACTGGGTAAGTGATCATCATCGGGTAAGTGATCATGAAATATAGAAAAAGAGGAAGATTATTTATGGGACTGCAAAACCCTTCCAGACTTGTTCAAACTCAAATTCCCAAATTCCTCTTCCAACATCAAGATCTGGGGAGGCTTATCCATGGTTTTGTTTTTTGTTTTGTTTGACTCATTGATTATTTGTTTAGGGTACAAAAAATATATGGAGCGCTAGCTATAACGACAAAAAACCCATATCCCTCCTCTCACTACAGGAAAAAGCCAACCCCCCAAGCCTCTCTGGTATGGAGCCAACCACACATCTCGCCTCAAAGAAAAGAAACTCAAGCCCAGCTAGAGGGATGAACAAGGAAAT